ACAAAATACTTTATTATGGGTAAATTGCAGCTTCTAGTCATATTATAAATTACTGTACTTTTAGTTGTATCAGTGAATTAACTGTTCTGTCAAAATGTAAAAAAGAAAAACTTTCAAAGCGAAATGAAATTGCGAAGGAAATGTCTGTCGTTTTGAAAAATAAAAAACCCTGGATAAACAGCTTTCATTTTGAAATAGAAGATAAACAATGACTGTATTTTTCTCAGGATTATTGAGGAAATTTTAGCGTCTTAAACACAAAACAAAACATCCAGAAAAAATGGAAGTAAACTGACCGATGTTTGTAGAGAGACTAGCGCTAAACTTGATATTTTAAGAAAAGATAAAGAAACTCTCACTCCTAAATATGGATAAGATTAAAAAAGAATATTAAGAAATCCAAACATCCACTTGGGGTGTCAGGCCTGACCTCTGAACTTTAGGGGTCATAGTGTATAAAGGTTTCCCCTTAAATGATTTTAATAACAGTGCCTGGTGGGTTGAGGGCTTTAAGGGTCAATTTACTGTTAGCTTATCAAAGGGTTTTTATGACTTGAACTCTAGGTCATTCAATCTTTAGAAGTTTACATGGATTGTATGTGACTTGATAATAGAATCTTCACAGATTTACTGTTATTCCAAAACAAAGAAGTTTGTCTACATCTTCAAGTCTCTTTCTGACACTTTGATGTTATTGTTGTTTTCAGTCTGGAAGAGCAAATAAAACTGAAATGTAATCTATGTGAACTGCTTGCTGTTTAAAAGGACCCCTTGCTGAGTTATGGGACATGCTTGTCTAGTTTCACCCATTAAAAACCTTTAAAAAGGGGTGGTTTCAAAATGCTGACATGAGTGGGTAGCTTTAATACCCTTTGTGATGATTTCTGCCAATTCTGCAAAGAGAGAACCCTAGTTTATTTCGATTCTTGCAAACTAAAAATATTATCGAAAATGTTTATAAATTTATACATGTTCTTTATAAGGACAAAACCTCTTCATATAAAACATTATATTGATTTACATTGTCTTTGTTCAAGTTGGATTTTATGCATAGATTTTTTTATTGCGCTATATAAATATCTTGTTAGAGACACACATTTAGTGACCTGTTAAAGGTAATTTTAATAATGTCGATAAATCACAATAGACAATACAATGAAACCTGCCAACAAAACAGAACAAGCAGTGTGCACTTCCCTGCACCAGTCTGGTTAATAAAGATAGGCATAAGCCATTCTTCCCCACAAAAATATGCTACAGTCTACTCTTATTTCTTTTGCCAACTTTCAGGGGATCTTCCAACCTCGTGGGGGTCCTGCGGTTTCTTCCCACTTCTAAACGAATTATTGAAATAAAATTCAACCATGTGCTAGTCCCGAAATGACCTAGTTTGTGTCGAGTGGACGTTAAACCCCATCTCTCTTTCAGGGGATCTTTAACATGCTGTTAATAGTATATACAGGAAGGAAACCTGGAGAAACTCATGAGGTTGGACTGGCGACCCCACTCCTTGACAAGTGATCACATACAAGTTTGGGATGGATCTAAAGCACACTTGTTTGACAACTCAACCACTTCCCTCCCCACCCCGCCATCTCTCCACCCTTAAGTGTACATAGTGGTAAATTGGCTAGCTACATGAACACAACATAACATCACTCCTCTCATAAATGACCTAAGTGGTATGGGGTGTTCCTTAAAGCATAAAAAATGCATCTTATCTTCTCTGTGACACACATCCCTACGTATTGCTAATGTTAACAACAGACCCTCTGTACGTTGAAGACTAGGAGGTTCTGGGTGACTGAAACTGAAGTGGTATTGAGTGTTCCAAAATGCAAAACTACACATTTTACTTCTCTGTAACACTCCTCACAGCTTCTAGCTACAAGACCAAAAACAAGCCTTGAGTTAAAGATACATTAGATAAGATTTTAATAAAGAGTTGGCCATTCTTGATGTAATAGTTCAAAACTAGATGATAAAATATTGAAAATTTTAGTCAAACTAATTTATTCTGAACGAAATTATCACTGCACTATTAGAAGTTTCGACTAGAGAATTGCCGATCGTTTGACTGACAGACAATAACTCCATCCACATATTCTTGATTATCAAGTAACATTCTCAATGCCTACGGTACCCTCGATTGTCAGTCCTTTCATCGGCAGTCTCTGGTTGTGACGTCAGTGATTGACGGTAAATGTTAGCTTGGTCAGCCATTTAATGATTTAATCATTAAATGGACGACTGTTTAAATTTAAGTTGTATCCAAGCCATCCGAGGGTCTACAGAATTAATTTTGGGCTTGTTATATAAATAAAGGCCTAATTAATAATTTCTATAACATTTGAAGCCTATAAAAAGACTTGCAATAGGCAGATTTAGCTCTTATCTAATGTATCTTTAATGAAATTTGTTCAGTAATTTTAAACAACAATCAATTCAGTAAAAACCAGCTGAGTTAATGAAATTTGTTCAGTAATTTGCAATTCAGCTAGTGAACTGAAACCTTGAGTAGAGGTGTGAAATTGTGTACGGCAATTTATCAGTTTTATTTAGTCCTAATCACGTACAGATGTTACACGAACACCTTTATATTTATCAGGCGTAATTTCAGAGCTTGGAAAATTTCTGTTTGCCTCCGGGACCTCAGCTTCTACTGTTTACATTTTACAAGAGGTAAACAAAGAGAGTGAAGTGAAAGTTATTTTGAAATGGTCCCTGTGGGATCTGGAGGGACAGGTGGTACATCTTGTCTTTACACAGTTGCCCAGATTAACCAGTGGTAATAATGAGCTTACTACGCAATTTCCAACACGAAGCTACAGTAGTGGTTTTGCAGTTGTTAAGTGTTAAAATTAGTAATTTAAATATTCCCTGAAAAATATATTCTGTACTTTATATCTTTATCTGGATCCCGTGCCCAGCATTGTGGGTTATCTCTTGTACAGCTTCCTCTCACTGTTTTAGAGCCCCATGTACATAAAAATAAACCATATCTCAGTCTCAAAATAACCTAGGTGTAATCAGTGGTGATTAAATTCCATTTCTATCTATTCTGTCTTGCTAAATATCTAAATAGCACCTATATGCTTTTGGACCAAGATCTGGTCGCCAAGCACTACTCATCTTCCTCCTTGGACACTTGTGCATTGATTGACTCACTTCAATGAATCACAATTCCAAGATGACAGGGATAACATCGTGCTCGGTTCCTGATCTATAAATTAAGATTTGTACATACTGGTAGTCAATTTACAATTTTCACTTACCAAATAGCAATCATACACATATCGTATCAACCAGAACCCTTTTGTTATTTCTTTTATTTATATTGCTAGAAATTACAGATAATAAACTCAAGAGCTGATATTTCAAACAGTTCTAGTTCTATGATGTTTCAAACAAAACAGAAGACCATTCACATTTGTTTTTGTAAACATTTGTATAGTAACATAATATGCATAATTGATAGAGCACACAGCAAACATACACTGTATATTTAATCAGAGAGTAGAACATTATAATTACTGAAATACTCTACCTTTGTCAGCTGTGATATAAACATGTAATATAAACATGCCTACATCCAGGATAGGGATGAAGACTTGGCTAAATTATGTAATAAGGGCCCTGTTGCAATCTAATTATGTAATTAGGGCCCCGTTGCAATCTTTTTAAGTAATTAGGACCTGTCACCATGTAATTAGGGCTGGGTTGCAACCTTATTAGGTTATAAGGGCTTGTGGCAATATAATTATGTAATTAGGGCAGGTGGAAATATAATTAAAACTAGATAGAAATATTGTTTTGTGTTCTGTCGTCTTAATGCAATGGCACGCTGGCCTGTTGCCCAGGGATCCCTCGGGCCCCATGCTAATCTAATTTAAGTATGTTGTGACTTGCTGTCAATATATAAATACAGTATTTTTCTGTGTTGATTCATCTTTGCTGTACAACATGTGTTTTAATGTTTAATACATTGATTTTGTTGGTAGTACTAATAATATGAAAAATATATGTTTAATTTTATCAACCATTTACATTTATATTCCTGTGAGTGGGGGCCTTTAAAGCTGTTAAGATGGTCCTAGTGGACCCCTTTAGTGGTACTGCTGGGTATTGCCACCGCAGTCACGATATGATATGTATTGCGATTCAGGTGCTCCGATGCGATTAAATATTTACTGCCATGAAAACAACAGGATAAGTGAAAAAGTGATATTTTCAGTCCACATCACAATATTGATGTGGATCAAAATAAGGACCAAAACAATTTAAAGGTCACCGGAAAAGCATCAATTTTTTTTTAAATAATGCAAGTAATTATGTCAACATATCCTTTCCATAAGTATAACCCGAGCCCGAACGTCAATATTACCTGCAACAGGTAAATTTCAACATTAGTAATTTCCGCCGTTCTCCGTCGGTAGTCGGAACTTTCCATCAATAAGCAATCCGTGACGTCATTTTAGTCCTTCTGCACATAGAAATATAGACTAGAATATGAGCAGAAGGACTAAAATGACGTCACATTTACGGAAAGTTACGACTACCCACGGAGAATGGCGGAAATTGCTAACGTTGAAATTTACCTGTTGCAGGTAATATTGACATTCGGGTTCGTGTTATACTTATGGAAAGGATATGTTGACATAATTACCTGCTTTATTTAAAAAATTTATGAACCTTTTCCGGTGACCTTTAAGAGTGTTTGTGTACCTATAGATAATATGTGACATAGATAATTAAGGTTACTTACTGAAGCAACAAAAAAAATAATCGCGATGCATTGATTCATCATGTCGCGATTCAGTACTTGAATCGTGAGAAGATGAATCATGATACATCGATTCAATGATATATCATGCCAGCGCTATTTAATGGTAGGACTTTAGGTTAGATTGTGGCCCTGTCTACATTTCACAAAATCGTGCAATTTATTTCAGTGCAAGTGCATAATGCTTTCATAACAAACTTTGATTTTTATTTTCCAGGCTCGTGAAGGTCAATGGCCGAGACCAACAAACTACTGCCCCTTAGATCTTTTTTCTGGGTAAGTTAGAGCATTGAAGTTAGAATGTTCCATTTCAGATATAAGGGAAAGCAAGATCATTGTTTTGTGGCTGAGGAAGTTGAAGTAGTTCAGACATGTTATTAAAATTAAACATATGTTTCTGTGTAGGTTGAATCTGGAATACGATACATTGGAGAGGAAATATGGATCAATATTTAATTAAAATATATACTTCGTATTTTCTTTTATATACATGATACAGTAACTAATGCTTTACAGATTTAACAATAACATGCTGTTTATTATCAACAGTTAAACATTAGGGTAGGCAGTCGCGTACTGGGAAGGGGGGGGGGATGAAGAGGAGGTGATGACCTCAGGCATCCATGTCAAATCAAAGTTGCTTTATTGAATCCCAGGTTTGATGGCCGAATGGTAAGCATGTGCACGTTGTATCATTAGGTCTGTCATTGAGTCAGCTGGTGTGGTTGTAAGAGACACACATTTAGTGACCTGTTTAAAGTTAATTTTAATAATGTCGATAAATCATAATAGACAATACAATGAAACCTGCCAGCAAAACAGAACAAGCAGTGTGCATTTTTCTGCACCAGCCTTGTACGTGACAAGGAGTAGGGTCGCCTGTCCAACCTCGTAGGTTTTCTCCGGGTCCTCCAGTTTCCTCCCATAGCTAAAAGACTTTTACACACAAGCGAATTATTGAAATAAAATTCAACCATATGTTAGTCCCGAAATGACCTAGTTTGAGTTGAGTGGACGTTAAACTCCATTTCTCTCTCTCTGATTCTGTTGTTTATCGAGAAAATAGCGTGCAGGGAGAGGGGCAGAGGAGGCAACGTCTTTAGGGCATCCAACGAAAGGTGGTTCATTGAGTAAGGTGCTGGCTCGTTAACCAGGAGATCCCAGGTGTATCGATCCTGGTGTTGGTCCAGAAAGTTCCTCTGGATTTTTCAGCATGTTTTCCCCCTTTCTAGTTGTTTTGATGGGACAAAAAAACGTGGAAATTCCATGTTGAGTGTCCAGTGCCCTAACCACTTACCAGTAACAGGCATGGCCCCCATTAAAACAATGGGCTAATGGGAATATGGTGTCAACTTTTTCAGCCTTTTAGAAAATGATACATTTATAATAGAAGAAATTCTGGAGTTTGAACATTAATAAATTGATTCTTGAATAATGTTTGAAAAAATATGTCGGTGATATAAGTAAAGCTATGTCTCAAAATTTAGGATAGTAATTAAAGTTTACGGGTTGTAGTTGAGTACAGTAGTTGTAGGTCAGAACTTGACTGATTATTCAAGCATGATATTACTCTCAAGGTCTTCTTGTACCCTGTCTGTCAAATCCACTATGTTATTGTTTACCGCATAGAAAGCTCTGCTGACGTTTGATTGGTTGAAAACTGTACATTATTCGCACTTATATACTAAAAGCAGTTTGATTGGTTGAAATCTGGGTTGACTAGCACAAGTTGTTGTTTGTAGGGGAAGGTTAAACTTTACAGCTGATTTGTGTGTACCTACCACCTGCCTTTCTCTCCACCAATCAGAACAGGGGGTTGTCGTCTAAAAATAGTATTTGGGCTATGTTATTGAAATGTGTTGCTATGTGCACATAGGTTCAATCCAATATTAAAAGTAAAATTAAAATCTATTTTATCAGATTCGACTCTCTCTCTGTAGCCATGACAGATTTTTATTTACAAATCATGGACCACATTCATGACACAACTTAATAGAAATAAACATTTTGTGAACCTTTGCCAAAATACTGGTAAACAAAATTTAATTAGGTTGCTGGCCTTCATTAAGTTTTGATTATTTCTCCAAATGGCAAGGGGGGTTGGGTGGCTGAATGGTAGGCATGTGAGCGCTGTATTATAAAGGCTGTCATTGAGTCAACTGGCGTGGTTTCGAATCCCCGGTTGTACGTGACAAGGAGTAGGGTTGCCTGTCCAACCTCGTGGGTTTTCTCCGGGTCCTCCGGTTTTCTCCCACTGCTAAAGACCCCTACGCGCAAGCGAATTATTGCAATAAAAATTAAACCATATGTTAGTCCCGAAATGACCTAGTTTGTGTCGAGTGGACGTTAAACCCCATCTCTCTCTCTCTCTCTCTCTCTCTCTCTCCAAATGGCAAAGTACTGGTAAACAAAAGTTGAAGTTTATTAAACATAAATTATGCAAGAGCTAAATCTGCCTATTGCAGGTCTTTCTTTAGGCCTGAAATGTTATATAAACTATTAATTAAAAATTTGTCATTTATTAACATGACAAGACCATAATCAACTCTTGGTGCTATCTGATGGGTCCGATTAAACATGCATTATGCAAGAGCTAAATCTGTCTAATGCAGGTCTTTCTTTAGGCCTGAAAGTTTATATAAACTATTAATTAGACATTTATTAACATGACAAGACCATAATCAACTCTCAGTGCCATCTGATGGGTCTGATTTTTCATAGATTTGAATCTGATCTACCGCTCAACAGTCCCCCTATTGATGATTATGGATAATCAAGACTTTGTTTATTATCGTAACAACGGTAACAATGCCGATCGCTTCTACAATTTTATTAAAATGAGTATTTCTCCTCTCAGAGTGAAGTAATTTGATGAAAATGCTCAGAATATTCCCATTACTTTATATTTTTTTGAACTATTATAGCGAGAACTGTCAGCTCTAATCTTCCATAATGTCACTTTAAGTTTTGATTATTTCTTCAAATGGTTTGATTTTCATACAAATAAATGTTAAATCTAAAACCATTAATATTAACAGTTGACATGTAATAAATGTTAAATCTAAAACCATTAATATTAACAGTTGACAAGTAATAAATGTACAATGAAAGTCAAAAACTAATAAAGTTTTATTGAATTTTGAAAACCAATTTCAAATAAATTGCACAATAATTGAGTAAATTTAGAATTTATGTGTTATATGACTTAAAAAGCAGCCAAAAAATCTCTTTATTATGGGCTTGAAAAACTACATTTTATATAAATTGTTTTAATGGCATTTAGTAATGTATTCCATAGATTTGAGTCCTATGGTGATAAAATAAATGGATAAAAATTATGCAAACACAGATTATGAATGTAATTTATTTTTTAAAAGGATCCAATTTATTATAGGCCTGGACTAGTTTTAATATGACAGGGCATAAAGTGAAATATGGTGGCGACATAAATGATAAAAATAATGCAAACATTGTTTCTTTGCTGGTTTTTGCTGGTCCCTCCATCTTGCACCACTGACAAGGGGAAACCGCTCCAGAAAATGAAGAGGAACTTTTTCGGCAAACACCGGAAGAGATACGGAGCCCTCCTGGTTGGAGAGAGAGAGGGCTGCGTTTTACTCACTGAGTCACCGCGTCTCCTCACGACTTAAAACCCCTACTTGCAAGTGATTTAATGAAATGTTAGTCCCGAAATTACCTAGTTTGTACTGAGTAGATGTTAAACCCCATTTCTCTCTTTCAATTTTTATTCGTGGTGTGCACTGTGCAGTGACATCTGGGCCTGCCCCTTTGAAGTTATACCTCAGCAGACCTTGCTGCCATTAAGTTTTAAGAGCTCAGGGGGTGTGTTCCAAACTTCAATTTTTTTTTTCAAAATATAAATGTAAGTATGTTTTTGAAGATGATGCCAATTCGATTATTAAAAAAAAACTGGATTCACTTTACTTACAAATCTGCTTGATTAAAATTTCAAACATAAAAGAAATTCACAAAATTTGAATTTTGTTATTTCTGGCAGACGTACTAAAATGAATATGTTACATATTTAGATATTAACGATCAAATTTATGATCATTACAAATATTGACACATAAATTAAGCTTGATATAATGTTAAACTGGTTTTATAGTGACATGTCGAGGTTTGTCAAACAATAACGATGATATTATCATTAAATGTTGATCTTGGCATGTTTTGGTATTGTTCTGTTTGAAAAAGACAGGTTTGACATCAATTAATCAGAGCAATAAGTAAATAAATCCGTTAAATATTGAATTCCTGCCAAATAAACGAATATAGGATGTGTGTCAAAAGTTCTTAGAGTATCCAAGTGATTGTGATATGTTTAAAGTACAGTGAAGAAATAAAATTTATTTATTGGAATTGCGAAATAAAAGAATCACTCTGGTATCAAGTTAACGTCGGAAAAACTCATTCATTACACCGTTTATTAAAGTCATTTGAAGAATTGTGAAACCCTTGCGATCTGGACTGTGTGAAAGTTTATTCTCTAAAAGACGAAATAATAGAGAAATAGGGTTTAACGTTCACTCGACACAAGCTACGTCATTTCAGGACATCTACTCAGCATTTAGGTCTTTGGTTGTGGGAGGAAACCGAAGGACCCAGAGAAAACAGAAAGCAATTCTTAAGAATTTGTTAAGCAACCAGCTATGCTGTGCACATACAAATAATTTAAAAGCGATGGTTCATGGATGACCAATCCATGGTCACATGACAAGTGTGTAAGATGTTTGCTCGAAAGCCTGGAGGGCGCATGTTCGGTCCCTGCATTAGCCGAAAAAGTTTATCAGGATTTTCCAACGTGGTTTTTCCTTGTCAGTGGTGCAGGACGGAGGGCCTGATAAGGACAGCTGTCTAGTCGTTTGGATGGGACGAAAAACTGAGGCCCCGTGTACACATTGGCTTGCACGTAAAATATCCCTTGGCAGTTAGAATTTGATATAAGAGTAGGCCATAGTGCCGTTGCTCGGGCAAAATTTCCCTCATAGCACACTGTTTGGTGTATGCCCGTCTGCATTAGCCCAGTATAGGAGCAGAATAGTAGGACGTTAAACCCCATTTCATTTCATTTCATTGCTTTGGAAGAGATTGCAAGCTGCTGCATTGATTGATGTTGGATTTTAACTCAACAAGAAATTCTTGTTTGATATTTGGCAACTTGTCCCGGTGATAAAAGTTGATATTCATTGCCATCACAATGATGTGCACACAGATGTTTTTTTCCGGCGAAATGGCGTAAATTAAAAATCCAATCGATTTCTTACAGTTGCTAAAACCTGACACAATTATATGGAATGCAAGTTACTTTGATGTATATTTCTGTCAAGGTTTCAACGAGGGTTCTCTCTCTTTATCAAGTAAAGTTGCTGCTGTATTTACTATAGTCAACATGGATTGTCACATGGCAAGGAGTGTGATGACTGACATTTGTAATGGATGTTGGACAAATATTTAAACCATCATAGATCTGTCTCATGTAACGTCATATGTAGGAATAACGAGAGAAGCCATTCAAGTTTCAATTCTCCCCAGACTCGATAAACAATTTATAGAAATCTAACTTTTGTTGCCTAATTCTCCTGATTATGAATCTATATTTGAAAAATCATCATAAAATTTCTATATTTCGCGTAAGCAAATTATTGAAATAAAATGGAACCATTTAGTCCCAAAATGACCTGGTTTGTGTTGAGTGGATGTTAAAACCTCTCTCTCTCTCTCTCTCTCTCTCTCTCTCTCCCTCTCTCCCTCTCCATATTCAATAAAACCTGACATGTACCTATTATACTAATAAACTAGAATACATATTTACTGGTTTATTTATGTGTTAATATGTTTAATTACTAAATGCCAATCAAAGAAGTAGTAATTTTGGTTTGAATAGCTGTTATTTTAGAAAGAATCATCATTTCTGTTATGCTTCAGTTTACTGTATTCAATATTAATTATTTCTTTTGACCCTTTTTTTTCAGAAATAGACAAAGAATGAAACACGCATTACTTGGTTTAATTCACACTCCCCAAAATAACCTTAAAATATGTAAGGTGAGTTTTAGCTTCAAAACTTTAAAATAAAAAAAAGATTTACTTGAACTTTTATTAGAGCCTATTTCTGGGTGTGTTGGGCACTCTACAGAATTAGTGAATTTACGTTCAAGCCTGGATATCAGCCACCTGCCACAGACATTGGTAAGCAAAATTCAGACATTGTCAAGCACCAACCCTCTAATGCATATCATTTTGTCTGGAGCAGATTTGTCCTGACTAGATCTATTTGTTAAGGCCAATTTTCGTCAAGGTCGCTAAGATGTTAATAAGGTTAGGGCACATGATTGTTGGCGAGATTGCAGGTTAGGGTAAGCATTGGGACTAGGTCCAGGGTTAGGTTTGGGATTAGTTTACATCTCATGACCTCTAACGAAAAATTGAGCTGGCCTTATCATTTAGCACTATAGCACTAACCGATTTGTCCTTTTATATTGGTTTTTATCAATATTATTAACATGTCCTGCACAAATTATCTGTGCCTGACATTTTGTCGAGTTCAGCTAAAATCAATTTTTTTTTGCTGGCCTGAATATATCAGAATTTTCATACTCGCCACATAAATTGTACTTAAAGTAGCTAAGTATCTAGCTCAATACCATCCAAAGTCTTTGACATTTAAAATACAAACTATTTGTCAATTTAAATCAACATTGATGTTGTGATCTTACCGGGAAAAGATGGGCTTCTGATAGCAAATATTTAAGACAAAATAAACATTTTACGATTGGTACACGAATCATGGACCAGAATGCGTTTCAGTGCCATTTGTAACACGGGACTCGGAGAACGAGGTTAAACATATTCCACAAGTCATGTCAAACAGTGACGCCATTATTCTTATCTGGAGAGCATGCGCAATAAATACTATAGATGTAGACTGGAATAACCAGATGCTAGAGATTGCCATTTGATTGAGACTTCTGGCGTATTTAGTCGAACATAACTGATTTGAAATTAAGAGCAAAAACAGAAACGGTTGAATGTAAATCAGTTTATATACATTCATATTATATTATTATATGTGTTGCAACCAATTTGTGCCAATTTCTAGGTCCCAAATATTAGCCATTTAGCTCATTTAATGTTACCTGTGAACATCCCCTTCCACTTTTGAGTGACATGGTAGTAAATTTAACCAATCACAACAGATGCAAGTACCCACACCCACAAGGTTGAGAAGGCACCCATATCTGTAAGCCATATACAATCACACCAGGGATCGAACATCAAACTCAAGACCGCATCCCAGAGATGACTGGCCATTTAGAGCTCGAAGCGTGACACAAGGCATCCTGGATGACTCCCACCCTCGATTTACGTTACAATATTTTTATTTCAGAATGGTGTAGAAGTATATGGTGCTCATAAACAGAAAGATTTAAATTTACTATTAAAAGATTTTTTTACAGGAGATGCTAGAAACAAGTAAGTGTTTTTTTAATTTGATTCTGAGGAATTCACAAATTGTAAGTTTTAGTAAAAGTTGCAAAAGGTATATATACATAAGTAAGTGTTGAACCTAGAGTTTCTGTTTTAAAACTTTGCTCGTCAAACATTATTAGTTGTGGTTAACATAGGCCAGAATTACGCCTCCGAAAGTCACTGTCATTGTACAAATTAGATAAATTTGGGTGATTTTGAATGATTTTTACAAAATTTTAAAACAAGAATTTGATATTGAATGAATGTGAAAGGAATTAGTGCTAAATACACAAGATTAAATGAATCCCAGATTACAGTGAAACATGCACATGAAGTTATTAGACTTTTGTTAATTATAAAATAATAATAGCATGTTAAAATTTTTATGAACATTAAAGATATTATTTTATATATCAAGTATTTCTCATTTTAATATTGTGTTTACTTTGCTTACAGATATTTAAGCAGTTTCTTAGACCTGGTTATAGAAATATTATTGTCACCACGATCTAAGGGAGGCAACTCTATTGAAACCCTTTCATTCAATTCACAAGTTTGTTACAACTCCAAATATGTCCCTAAATCTCACTCTAAAGGTTAGTAGAATTAATATGGCTACATTGTAAAAAAATGAATGGAAAAAACACACGATTTAATTAACTATTTATTATTACAGGCCTAGAACTGTACAGCGTAATGGATGCTTACGGCTGGCCATCGGGTCCATTCATTTGGTTTGATATTTGTTGTTGGCAAAGTCTATGTAATTTGTGTCTTGTTTGCATCTAGTGGGGTCCCCCTGCAATTACTATTAGTATTTGAACTGCCAGAAACTACCTCCTTATCTAGAGCCGAATACTAGTTCTCTGACTCTGACAGTTTAAGGAGCAGTAACTTCAATCGGTTTTCAAAATGAGTTTCAAAATTCAATGTCGAGTCCAATACTAGTTCTGTGACTCTTAACCGTTTAGGAAGTAGTAAATTTAATCGGTTTTCAAAACTCAATATTTAGCCCAATACTGGTTATGTGACTCTGACAGTTTAAGGAACAGTTAATTCAATCGGTTTTCAAAATGAGTTTCGAAACTCAATGTCAAGTCCAATACTAGTTCTTTGACTTTTAACAGTTTATGCTCGGTTCTCACTGTCACAATTAGTGCAAGGATTGAAATCATGGTTTTAATCATGGAGTAATCATGATGATCCTATCAGGTCTTATCATACACAATTAGTGCAAGGATTGAAATCATGATTTTAATCATTGAGTAATCATGATGATCCTATCAGGTGTTATCATACACAATTAGTGCAAGGATTGAAATCATGGTTTTAATCATGGAGTAATCATGATGATCCTATCAGGTCTTATCATACACAATTAGTGCAAGGATTGAAATCATGATTTTAATCATGGAGTAATCATGATGATCCTATCAGGTGTTATCATACATGTATATTGATGTCAGTCGTAGCAAATCGTGTTGACAGTATCGAAATGTATCCAGGCGTATCTGCACATAATAGGGACAATCCTATCGTAATGCATCGCACGACAGCAGGAACATGGCATTAGGGAGCAGTCAATTAGGGTCATCACATTTATCATAGAACAGGGGTAGTCAATATTTACCTTACCTGTACCAGGTGCTAAAGGCTTAATAACTATTTGTTATATTACAGGTGATAGTTGGAAATTACCTATAGAATGTGTACTAGAGAAGATCTACAGTGTACAATCTCTAGATGAATTAGATATAGATGGTATATATCCTATATATCAACATTTACAAACACATCTTAACTCATATCCACAACACAGGTATATCATTCTACATTATTTAACTTGATTACAGGAGGCCCTATTTAGCTTGATTACAGGTGACCTATTTAACTTGATTACAGGAGGCCCTATTTAACTTGATTACAGGAGGGCCTATTTAACTTGATTACAGGAACCCTATTTAACTTGATTACAGGAACCCTATTTAACTTGAGGAACCCTATTTAACTTGATTACAGGAACCCTATTTAACTTGATTACAGAAGGCCCTGTTTAACTTCATTATGGAGGCCGCTATTTAACTTGATTACAGTAGACCCTGTTTCACTTGATTACAGGGGGCTTATTTAACTTGATTACAGGAGGTCCTATTTCACTGGGTTTTCAGGAGGCCCTATTTCACTTGATTACAAGAGGCCCTATTTCACTTGATTACAAGAGGCCCTTTATAACTTGATTATGAAGGCCCCTATTTAATTTGATTACAGGTGCCCTATCTAACTTGATTACAGGAGCCCTATTTAACTTCATTACAGGAGGCCATATTTCACTTGATTATGATGGTCCCTATTTAACTTGATTACATGTGCCCTATTCACAAATACGTACAGAGGCATTATGCAAGAGTTAAATCTGCCTATTGCCAGGTTTTTTATAAATCATTATTTAGGCAGTTATTCACATGCCAAGTTCATAGTCAACTCTCTGGACAATCAAATGGCTTAGATATTGAGTGGCATCAAGCTGAATTTTTCCAGTGATACATGACAGCTCAGACAATCAAGATATCATTTATTATCGTGGCGATGGTACTTGACCATTTAGAATATGAACTGTCGGGATAGATTCTATCTGCCAACAATCGGCAATTCTTTGCAATCTTCGCATTACAAAATGCATTGCATATCTTAATACAGACAATCTGATTGGTCATTCTGTTGGCATGATCTGTATTCCAAATGTCCCAAAAGTAATTAGTTTCAGTCACCCAGAACCTCCTAGTCTTCAACAAACGGTGTGTCTGGGATCGTTTTCAATATTTAACAAAAAGTTCCATTGCCCATGCGTAACTGGAAGGATTTTTTTTTATTTGGTTGATTATCCAGTATCTTTGCCCAAGTCAAGTAAGTGTTGCGCCCCTCCCCGCAATAGATCCCATAATTCTTGCATTATTAAAAACAAACATGAATCGTAACGACGAATGCAATGCAATCAAATGGATTTTCTGAAATGGAATGCTTAAATTAATTCATGGGTGTTGAAATCTTGTTTCAGGACTAGTTACCTCCCTTTGACTTTGAAATTTTAAATAAGATTTGGACTTACCACAGCTGTCAAAGCAAAATTTCCCTCACAGCACACTTCATGGGGTAGCCTATATGCCCATCTTCTTTAGCCCTGCCAGTGCAGTAAAATAAGAAGTTTTAACTTAAACATACATTATGCAAGAGCTAAATCTTCCAATTGAAAGTCTTTCTTTCGGCCTGAAATATTATCTAAATTATTAATTTGATATTAATTAACTTATCAGACCAATGTCATCACTAGCCTGCAATATTTACTGGATTATAATCAGATCTGCTGCTCAACGCTCATTCATGATTAAGTAAAAAAAATGGATAATTGAGACTATGTTTTTTATCGTACCGACTTTAGTAATGATGATTGAGGCTAGGCCCAAAATTCAATCGCTAAATTCTTGGTTCAGAGTGGATCAATTTGACTGAAATTTTCAGCAAATTCCCTTTACATTATCTAGTTTTTAACTATTATAGTGAGAACTGCCAGCCTTTAATCTAATCTCCCATAATGCATCCCATTTCTATTTCTGCTAAGTACTTGGTAAAGTTGTCAGAATTTTCGTATTTGTTCAGCGATAATATTGCAGTTATAAATGCCTACTTTTAAATGCAATAATTCTTTTCCCTAAATCTTTAAGGAGTAATTGGGGTTTGGATGGTCCATACAGTGAAGACTGGTTAACAAGATCTACTTTTACTGATAACTCTGAACATCTCCAATCAGCAGTTCTGAAGGTAAGGTTAATCTTATGCTAGACTGTATACTTGGGTATATTAGTAATACTTCTTTTTGTTTTAAAATATTGGTGTCAGTCATTATCACATATGTGATAAAACTGGTTAAACACGTTCCAAATAAAATTTTAATATAGAGATCATTGCTACGATAGATGCGTTAGGAAGATTTAAAGAAACAGGAAGTGACGAACTTGAAAGGAAAACACAAGTTATTCTTCTATATAACTGACTGAAGTGACAGGCAAATTTCTGCTCACTAATAATTCCTTTGAAGGCCAAAAGTTGTTATGTTAGACTGTGAGAGGATATCTGACAATTAAAAAAAGATAAGGGAAAACAAGAAAAATAGACATAGTCTGTACATTCCCGTGCTTTTATTCATTCTTTACTTAATAGAAACATGGTAATGCATGATCAAGATCTGATAAAAATCTGTTGTTAATTCCTAGTGGCTGCTTAGAAAAATATACAGATCATATGATATAATCATTCACATAATTTACAAATTGCTAATGTGAAAAGGCAGCACTTACACCTACTGCTTGACAATCAAATATGGAAACCTTGACCAGGATAATATCTAAGAAAAAAGACAAAAAACAATGAAGAAAGACAAAAACCAATGAAGAAAGACAAAAAACAATCGTCTAATAATATCAATAGACTAGAGGCCATTCTAGTCTTACTTGCCAATTCGGGTTTCAAAGTAACATAAAAGCATGGAGCACAATTTTCAATCAACTGATGCTGAACATTTTATGTGAGAGCATGTTTGTGAATTGACTTCATCCAAGGTACAAGTTGGTGGCATGTTATTGTTTTCTATAACTGGTACTAATGACAGGTATTTTGTCCAGAAAGGTGATCAATACAGTTGCAATTGCAATCTGTTTCACAGAGGTATTGCAAAAAGTATTCTTAAAGCTCTGTAAAAAATGACTGCTTTCAACATGCTTTCAACCTCGTGGGTTTTCTCCGGGTCCTCCGGTTTCCTCCCACTGCAAGCGAATTATTGAATTAAAATTGAACCATATGTTCGTCCCGAAATGTCCTGGTTTGTGTTAAATCCCATTTCTCTTTCTCCTAACCACACAACCACCATGGCCCATATTTTGCCATACATTAATGGATTTCTCAAAACTAGAAAAGCTACAGCAAAAAAAAGAAAAAAAAGAATAAATGTAACATCTTCCGATATTATTGGTTTATGTTTTTGTTAAATAGTTATAGTGTAATGAAAGGCAGCATTGATAATTATTTATTGATTTCTGTCATTTTTCAGGTGAAGAAATTTTTGATCTCTAAAACGGTACAAGATTGTTCAATAATGGTGGCATTACAACCTTTAGTTAAAAGGTACCTGAATTATTATCACTGCTTTCAAATATTTTAATTCTTTTTAAAGCAAATTTAAAGAAATGATGCATGAATTGCATTTTTCGGAAAATATCTTCCCACTTTATCCAGGCTGATATGTACTCATTTTGATCATTTAACATTTTATCAAGAAAACAGAATCAAAATACCAACACTACACTAGCTATTATCTCTATGCTTAGATTCAGTCGAATTAAAAACAGGTTCATCAATTTGGTTCACAGTAAATAAAGATTACGACGGACTTAAAACAATCAAGTGACCAGAACAGATCGATGGAAATTTCAATTCATCATATCTTTGTAAATACTGAATGGAATTAAACCAGTCTTGGACTGATATTGCTGTTAGAGATTCAACTTTCACATTATTGTAGTTTGCAAGGTATTCCTATAGCGCTAAAATCATGTTCTTTAAACGTGAGAAAATTAAATGCCAATTTTTATTGTCAGTATTTATAAATTTAATACAATTTTGTTTCAGACCAAGTGATATGAGCTCTGTGATAAATTTTGACGAACAATATTTCCGTTATTCCATCTCAATAATCGATCTAGATCCAAAACGATTTGATAAAATACCAACATATTATATAATGGAACAAGAAATGGAAAAGGCATATCAGGAAAACATGGACAAAGTTAAACTTCGAGATATCGGCAAGAAATGTGAAACTCTGTGATTTACATCAAGTTTTAATCTATTCGTCTTAACATATCTTTTTTTATATATACACCCTGGAAGATAAAATTTTCCATTTTCCATTTTCAATCCAAAGTTTGTAGCGTTTGTTGTATAAAAACCACAAGAACGGATAACCAAGAAAACATAAAAAAGGATATTTTAGACATAGTTCTATAAAGGATCTGTAGAATAGTTTAGGGTTTTCATGCTTAAAAAGTATGGTACCGTAGTGTGTTCGTTCTGGGCATAAAATGGGTCAGTAGAGAGAATTGTACTCTCGGCAAGTTGTACCACTATAACAGGGCATTTTACTCTTGTTCTCCCGATGTTACTTTAATAATAATTTGATATGAAGTTATTGTATGTAGGAAATTATTTTGAATGGCAACAGGTCACATTAAAAAGGTTTATACAATATTAATTATTTATCTATTACAGAATTAGATATATATCTTGCAAAAATTTCTGTCAAATTACTAAATACAAAGCCGGGAAAACCTCATTTTAATAACACTGTAGCCTCAATAGGCATTGTTACCGTTGTTACGATAATAAACAAAGTCTTGATTATCCATTATTACGGTTAATCATCAACGGCCATTGAATCGCAGATCGGATTCAAATCTGTGGGAAATCGGACCCATCAGATGGCATCGAGAGTCGATTATGGTCTTGTCATGTTAATAAATGTCTAATTAATAGTTTATATAACATTTAAGGTCTAAAGAAAGACCTGCAATAGGCAGATTAAGCTCTTGCATAATGCCTGTTTAATATATGTACTCTTTTATTATTCAGCGATGTTTTATAACTCGATTAAGTCTAGTGAAACGTCACTCAGTAATAAACAGTAATTTTGTTCCATAGTAGTTCAGTTACTAAATGCCATTGAAATAAGTGAATGTATTTGTTTCAGTGTATATTCTTTAAAATATGTGGATGCATTTATTAAAATATATCACATTCAGATCTAAATCCCATTTTATGTTATTAAAGATGGGTTCCCAGAAAAGTATTTATCAGGTGGTTATTTCCAATAAAAGTATGGTAATTTTGGTATATATGGAAAGTAGAGATATCCAATCTTACTAGAAAAATACTGGATTCCCCGAAAAACACTCATGGAGCATATACAGGACAAAAATGTAAGGGTTCGCCTAATCAACAGCCCGACCATTAGGAATTTCTGCATGCGTCACGGGCGAACATTGAGCGCTTAATGTACAAGTTGATAAACTTTATGAAGAGTTAGATGTACAACACTTTCTGAGATAAAATGACGGAAAAAGACGCGGGTAGTAGATAATCCAAGAATTTTATTAGGATTCGATATTTGTAATAAATAGTAAGCGATTAAAGACATCATCGTCTTCTGTATGCAATGAATTCTCCTCTGACTTCTAAGAGAGGTAAGTCACGTGACGTAAACATGACCTGGTTTGATCAAATTTTTATAGCAGGACATTCGTTCGCAATTACAATGTTTGAGAAGGATTTGAAGCAAAATTATGACAAATTAATTAGTTTGAATATGTTTTTAGTCCATATATACCATTAAATCACCCAGTTTGTACGTGGGAACCCATCTTTAAATATCACATTAATTAAAGAATAACAGACAGCTTTATGGATAACATTCACTTTGTTTATTAACTGCAACATTTCAATGAGGGTATAACTCACACCGTTATTAAGCAATCATACAGAAGGTTAAATACAAATGGGTTACGATAAAAATATATGTTAATTTATTACAAAGTTGTCTGTTATTATAATATATTGCTTTCACTAGATGCCCTTTAAAGATATTACTTTAAATCAAATATTTCCAATGTATATAGTTCAGTCATTGTAGATGCATTTATAAAAATATTCTAGATAAGACTTGCATATTATGTTATTATATATTATTATAGATCAAATATTACCATATTTTAGAAGTATTTGTGTGGAAATAACGTACTACTCCCTAGGCAACCTCAATTCGCTTGAGTCACAGAACTAAATAGTATGTGACACGTGACTCATACAGTTTGAGGCACTACAGCGAGCAGTAGTTTTGCATGGCCAAGTGTTAAAGGGTTATGATGATACAGAGAAAAACTAACCCAGTTGTACAAATTTTGGTTGAGTTATGAGTATTTTGGATATAAATCACTTTAAGGTACCACTCCCTAGGCAATCTCAAACCGCTTGAGTCATAGGACAAAGACAGTAATTTATTCTGGAATATTACTGATGTGAACTTCAAGCTGGTAAATATGGAAAATTTTCAAAGGGTGTATGAAATGGAGTAAGGAACTAAATGAAAACTACGAGTTTACGCTTGATTCTGAAAATAAACACGTAATTCACATTGTTTTCTGGATATTACTTTTGACACTATTTAAATCGCCCATTTTTACCTATTTAAATGTTTACCAAAAATTCCATCTGAATATTTTAATTTTTAGACAGATTTGGAGGATTCGCACAGATTGCATATATGAGAATCCTCTTAGTCTTAGACTCTCGCAAAAAATGACGAATTTCTAACCCAGTTTGAGGCACTGGAGGGAGTAGTAGTTTTGGGTGGCCAAGTGTTAAAGGGTTAATTATATCTCAACTGATACAAATTTTGGTTGAGTTTTGAGAGTGTCTGTTATAGAATGTTCAATATTTGATTTGTGTGTTGGTTTTTGTTAAAGATTGCATAGTTTGTGGTTATAGATGTTAGTTCATTGAATTAAAACTATCTGATCAAAATACAGATCTAACTTCTGTCTTTTTATGACAGAATGATATAAACTATTTATTATATTTAACTTCAGTTTTGTTTTTTTCTCTACTAGTCTATTCCAACCTCGTGGGTTTTCACCCACTTCCTCCGGTTTCCTCCCACTGCTAAAGACCCCTTCGCACATGCGAATTATTGAAATAAAACTGAACCATATGTTAGTCCCGAAATGACCTAGTTTGTGTCGAGTGGACGTTAAACCCCATTTCTTCTCTCTCTCTCTCTCTCTCTCTCTCTACTAGTCTATATATGGCTCTCATTATGCATAGCACACTTTGCCTAAACTTAACTAAACAGACCATTTCATTGGCTAATCTGTTATATCAAAGAGAACTCTTAATTTAAATAATCACTCCAGATCCTACTGTTGTATAGACTAAGAAAACAAAACTTGAAGTATTGAATTATTATTAAAAAACTAAACAAAAAAAGATCTGTGTTTTAATCTGATTATATTCTATTTATTAACGATAATATTTTACATAGATGACGATATTACTTCAATTAAAATTTGGTATACTCTTGGCAGTATACTTATAGTCACGGGTGAGCCAGGCTAACATGAGCAATGTCAAAATTTATAGCACTTATAGTCACGTGTCAGCTTGATTAACATCAGCAATGTCAAAATTTTAGATGTAAATCTAATATCCTGGATACATAGGTGTTTATGAAACTGGATATTAAATTGATTGGTTCCCCCAGTAACTCGAACCATTCGTAAATGTTTTAAGTAAAACTTGCAAGAACTATGACGTGCAGTGTGTTTACATGGTTTCTTAAAAAGTTGATGTCCTACTCTGAACCTGAATCAGGTTCCTCCTTATGATTAGCCAAACAATCTCAGCATGAAATAAGAAATCTCATTTTGATAGATGGAATAACTGACAGACTAGGATAATGACAATGTAATAACACATCATTTGTTCATTCATTCGTTTGCAGGGTTTAATGGCCACTTTCATCCAGAGAAACACATGGAATCTGGTCGTATAAAAATCCTTTAATGTAGAGAAAACACTTATCACTACGAACAAATAAGGCTGAATGTGGAGAAGTGCTGCCCTGGCTAAAATCCATCTTATATATCACCTGGAAAGATGTAGTGAAATAAGTATTTATTTATCTATGTAGAGTATTATTTATGAATTATTATGTACACTGTATCTTTTAATGTTTTTTTTTTACTGTGATGTATGTTGTTATAATATCTATATTTGCATCTAGTTGAACCCTGCTATGTATTTATAACCTAGTACAAAAGTTCGAATTGGTTTCAATATTCCTGTTACTGAAAGTTGAGATCAATCAGTTCACAATGAACTTAAAGCATGCAAATCTATCTATTGTCGGAATCACATCTAGGTTTGCAAATTTACCTGGGATCTGAAACTACAAACTCTATCTTTAATTACAAATTTACCTGGGGGTTGGATGGCCGATTGGTTAGCGTGTGCGCGCTGTATCATAAGGTCTGTCATTCAGTCAAGTGGCGTGGTTTTGATTCCCCGGTTGTATGTGACAAGGAGTAGGGTCGCATGTTCAATCTTGTGGGTTTTCTCCGGGTCCTCCGGTTTCCTCCCACTGCTAAAGACCACTACGCGCAAGCAAATCATTAAAATAAAAATTGAACCATATGTTAGTCCCGAAATGACCTAGTTTGTGTCTAGTAGACGTTAAACCCCATTTCTGTCTCTCTTTTTCTCAGGGGTAACTTTTTTGTTGGTACAGAAAGAAATATATTAAATACAATTTTTGATATATCTCTAAAAATCCATCTGAATTGTAGTGTTAAAGTACCAGGAAATTTGCAAATTGTGACCCATGTGATGTAAAAGTGATAATTAATGAATTAAATTAGTCTGACCTTACATTATGATGTAAATTTCAATTTCCAAGGATTGAATAATATTCCTTTAGTCTTAAAAAGGCAAAACTTCCACATGGATCTATTTTATTTATTTATTATAATTCTTAAACAGTTTGCTATTAAACTGTATATATATTTGTATATAAAATTCTTGCCTTTTCTCTAATATAGAAAAAAACGAACTTTTCACTTGAAAACATGAGACAATAGCAGTTCATTTCAAAATGTCATGTGATTCTCAAAATCCATATATATGTATATATATATTTATATGAAAAGTTAAAGATTACTACTCTTAGGTATTGGATACACAAAAATATAAAAGATTTTGAAAAAAGAACTACATTATTTGTTGATGGCCGAATGGTTAGCATGTGCGCGCTATATCATAAGGCCTGTCATTGAGTCAACTGGCATGGTTTCGAATCCCCAGGTTGTAGGTGACAAGGAGTGAGTGCCTGTCCAACCTCTTGGGTTTTCTCTGGGTCCTCCGCGCAAGTGAATTATTGAAATAAAATTAAACCATATATTTGTCCCGAAATTACCTCGTCTGTGTCGAGTGGATGTTGAACCCCATTTCCCTCTCTTCAGGTAAACAACATTATCTAAATAAGCGAAAGTGCTAGTAATCAACAAATAATGTAGTTATTTTTTCAAAAACTTTTATATTTTTGTGTATATATATATTTATATATTTGTATACATCTATTAGAATAAGATATTTTATGAGTCATAATT